CCTCCCTCATGAACCCTTCGTAATTCATAAATTTTTATAGTTTTGTCATAAATTATACTGTCCAACGTCTCCCCCCGCCCTATTATCTGCTGTCCATCCCCCAGGGAGGAGGCTATACTTAGATTCTTGTAATTGGTTTATTCAGGCTTTCTTATAAACGTAGTATTAATTAGCCCAGGCAATCCAATCTTAAAGGCAAACAGCTTTTTGTTTACTTTGTGTTTAAAGTCCCGCATCCAGCAGCCTGTTGCAAAAGTTAAGTGGAGATGTGTTGATGAGTCACACAGCTGCAAACAAATTGTGTGTTCCAATTAAAGTGGTGCTTATGGTAATAAACTTCAGAGCCTGTAGAATGAAATATTTAAACTTTCTTTGCAGTTAATATCCTGCCAAGAAAATCTCAGACAGCGGTGGTTTTGAAAGGAAATTGGGTGAATAATAAAAAGCTGTGTATTAAGCCTCCCCCTTTCCCCGCTTTAAATTTGGGCTTTGGAAGTGAATGTCCTATGTAAACTAATGGTGGCATAATGTTTACTTTGGCACACTGATTATTGAATTTTAGACTCACTAGTTTTGGATTTGGTGAGCCTCACTCTGCCTTCCAGAGAAATGTAGCAGTATGCCACCTTCTTTTTGTACCTTCGGTGCATTTAGAGTCACTGTAGATGTGCATGCATTTATTGCTATCTGTATACAAATCTAGCTCTTCACACCAAATGTTCTGCTTCATATTTAATTTGGGAATGTTCTCTTCATAGGCATGTTTTGATGGGTGGCTTAGTCTAGCTTGTTAACATGAAAGCTATCGATGCTCAGCATCTTCCTAGCCATTTAGTATTGTAGCCTAACAAAAAGTTCAGACTCGGACTGGGGAATTAACTTTAATATGTTGCCAAGAAGGATCCAGAAGCCTTAAAAGAAGGAGTTAATGCCAAGGGTCTATAGCGCTGCTCGGAACGTGACTTCATAGACATAAGGAAGGAGCTGCGGGCATGAAGGGCCTGCACATGACCTTGGAACAACTGCAGCCTCCTTGCAGGGGCTAATAATGTTGATTAAAATGACACTTGATTTCTGTCTGGATGAAGCTTCGTACAGCCCTTGCCAGAACGTTCTTTTGAAGCCCTTTTCCGTTGTTGTGAAGATTTAATTCCTTATTTTTCTCCTTTGATACAGAAATCCCCTGCAAAGAAGCTGAGCCATGCAATTAGTAAGTCACTGGGGTGCGTCCCCACCAGAGAACCCCCGCATCCTGTTTTTCCTGAGCAACCAGAGAAACCACTTGACCTTGCACATATAGTGTAAGTATCTAACTGGATGTGGCTATGCTGAAACGGAGGCACTGCTAAGTCTCCTGGATGGGTACCAGTACCACCTGAGGTGCACCTTTCACCTTCTGATACGTTTTTCTTTGCTTCCAGGGAACTTAGACTTCAAGCTTTAAAAGCCTTGTTTCTTTAAAAGTGAATTTGTTAAAAAGCCAAACCCGTTGCCATGGAGGCAATTACAACTCACATGACTGTCTCTGCAGAAACCTGACTTTGGTCCTGAGACCTCAATAGCTTAGCAGTCATCAGCCCACTCAACTCACTGCCATCAGGTGGATTCTGACACGCAGTGACCCCCAAGGGTCACGATGAGCAGCCAACAATGAAACATTAGTGCCCTGACGAGTGACTGTGGTGCCGGTTTTAACAGGATTGCCTTTTGTCTGTGTGGGCCTCCTTTAAATCAGTGGTAGCCATAATACGTCCTCTGAAGCATAAACACCGTAATGCTTGTCAATACTAGCACAGGGGATCTTCATACCGTTCATGGGACAAGATAACAGGTAACGGAGTTTTCCCTTGAATTCCCCTCATATTGACAAAACAAATGAAAAGCAACTTAATTTCCTCTGTTCGTAATGAGAGAAAACTAAGACGAGAACAGGTGAAAATTCTCAACCCACTGCCATGAAGTCCATTCTGCTTCACCTGCGTGACGCTGGACAGCAGAGCAGGCCTGCTGTTCCATCAGCTTCCGAGTATGCTCCCAGGGCTCCCAGGCACAGTGAGTGCTTTGTGGTTTCTCAGTTGAATACTTAGTCTAAGTCAAGGAAAGCTAGAGGGGAACAAACAAGCTAGAGAATTAGAGGCAAAAGCGAAAAGGAAAAGTGAGGGGGGAAAGAAACGGTGGTGCTTCTCCCCGGTTTCTTCACCCTGCACTGACGATGACACGGTGCTGGCGTGCTCGGCGGTTCTTTTGACCCCTGAGTCTCCCTGAAGCGTTGGGAAGCTTGCCTGTTGGAGTGGCCATCCCTTTCCACGTTTCCCGCCTAGTCGTAGGTAGTGTGACCAAATGAATGTTTGATCTTTTCTTTTCTCTTTCCATCAATTATTTTTCAATGTGTATATTAATTAAAATAATATATGCATCTGGATTAAAAAACCCTGAAAATACAGAAAAGCTTATAATGGAGTGCAGCATAGTCACCTGCTCTTCCTTTGTTTTCCCTAGCTTCTGGCTTACTATCTAAAGAATGCATTCTGAGTACCATTTCTCCACTGCCTGGTTTTGTACATTGTTTTTTCCTGGAAGTATAAAGAATGACTCTTATCTATAGCTCCATATAGTAACCCATTCTTGGTCTGCATATTTATATTACCATCTTGTTAGTTGGTTGCCTTTATAATTTTAATAATATTCTTAAATTGTTATTTCATATAATTTCTACTATAAAAAACTGAAGAAATTCAATAGTTTCTATCTACTTTGCCTCCTAAATTCTGTCACCTATGTCATTATTTTTATATTGCCAAAGCTTATAATGTTTATATTCTCTTACATGAGCTCAATGAAGTCTTCAGAGACATAAGGAGATAAATCTAGACATTGAAACCATTAGCTGCCTTATCAGTAATTATCATTCATTGCAAAGTTGACTACAATTCTGGTTCTGGATATCCTTTTATAGTGGTCCATGGTCTTGAGCTTTGTGCACATACTCAGTCATCAGAGTTAGATGGGAACTTCTTTCTTATGTGCCCTAATTGCTCAAAATCATATAACACGTTGACTTCTTTACTAAATTTACTTTCTTGTGAAGGTTTTGTTGTTAATCACTATGTGTAGTTGTTTGTGTCTCCTTTTCTTATTAGGAAAAATATGCTTTATATCTTTGGCATTGCATTTTCTCCATTGCTTCTAAACTTTTTGTTAAATGTATCAACCTTTTCCATTTACAGTAGTGTTTTTTTAATGAGGTTTAGAAACAAAACAAAAGTCAGTGCCCACCACTTAGTTGTTATGGCTTTCTCCATTTGTATTTGTATTTTTCACGAGTTTTAAAGATGCCTGTTTCATGTGTGTCTTTAATTCACCAGGAATGCGTTTCTGTGTGTGGTGTGACCTAAGATATCCAGCTCATTCTTTCTCTCCCTCTTTGCATTTGGCATGAATGACTTGTCATCTCTCCGCTCATCTACAGTGGCCCTGTTGTTATGAATAAAAGTCTCCAAATATAAATGGGTTGGTTTCTGGGGTCTCTATTTTGTTCCTTTGGGGAAATCGTCTATTCTTGTGCCAATATCACACTAGGTTACTTAACGCATTTCTGCTGAATCGATTTAGAGTCATAGGGACCCTATAGGATAGAGTAGAACTGTTTCATAAGCTTTCCAATGCTATAAATCCTTATGGAGGTTGACACCTGCCATACCTTTCTCCCATGGAGCAACAGGTCAGTTTGAATGGCCAACATTCAGTTAGCAGCCAAGCGCTTTATCTGCTGTGCCACCAAGAGCCTTTAATTGTTATAAGCATTTCAATAATCTTCAAAAATGGCTGTTATATGCCCTTTGCCCTTTTTTAGTTACATAGCTTCTAGAATCAGTTTGTTGAATCCTTCAAAAATTATTGGAAATATTATTGATAGGAATCTTGCTAGAGGTCACATGATCAAATTTTATAAGACCATCAACTTATTCACTGCAAGTATCCTGTTTCAACAACATAAACAGTCTCTATCTACATGGACCTCACTGAATGGAATATATAGGAATCATATACTTCATCTCTGTAAAGAGGCCATTGAGAAGCTCAGCACCATCGATCAGAACAAGGCCAGGGGCTGACTGTGGAATAGAACATCAAGATACGAGTTCATTTACAAGTTCCAGTTGGAGCTGAAGAAAATGAAAGGAATCCACAAGAGCCAAACTATAACCTCAAGTATATCCCACCTGAATTTAGAGAACATCTCAGAACAGATTTGATCTGCAGAACACTCAATGACAGAAGACCCGATGAGCTGTGAGATGACATCAAGAGTCGCATACTTGAGGAAAGCAAAGGGATATTAGAACAACAAGAAGGAAAAGACCAAAGTGGACGCGTCAGAAGAGACTCTGAAACTTAACTCTGAGCAGAGAGAAGCTTGAGCAAGTGCAGGAAATGAAGACAAAATATCTGGACCAAAGATTTCAAAGGATGACTCAAGAAGACAGAGTAAAGTGTTACAGTGAAATGTGCAAAGACCTGCAGTTAGAAAACCGAAAGAACGCATGAAAGAAATAATTCAAACTTCAAGTTACCATCATGCAGCAGCTATGGACAAAATATTGAACATGCAGAAGCATCAAAAAAAGATGAGAGGAAAACATAGTCACTGTGTCAAAAAGAATTGGCCGACTTTCATCCATTCAGGAGGGAGCGTGTCATCAACAGCCAGTGGTATGGAAGGAAGAAGTCCGAGCTGCACTGAAGCCATTGGTGAAAACAAGGCTCCAGGAATTGACAAAACCTACTGACCTGTTTGAACAGACGGCTACAGCACCAGAGCCTCTCATGCACCTGTACCTGGAAATTTGGAAGACAGCTAAGCTACATGCCCCCCCCCCCCCCCCCCCCCCCCCGCCCCCCCATTGGAAGAGACCCATCTTTGTGCCGTTCCAAAGGAACGTGACCTAACAGAACATGGAAATGACAGAACCGTATCAATATCTCTCACTAGTAATTTTGCTGAAGATAATTTTAAAAGGTTGCAGCAGTCCGTCAATAGGCCGCTGCTAGAAATCCAAGCTGGATTCTGCAGGCGATATGGCACGAGGAATGTAACTGCTGACAGAAGACGGCTCTTGGCTGAAAGCAGAAAACCCCCCAAAGCCGTTTACTTGTGTTTTCTTCACTTTGCAAAAGACATTTGACTGTGTGGATGTTAACAAATTATGGATAACATTTCCACAGTGGGAATTCCAGAATGCTTGATTTTGCTCATATGGAGCCTGTTTATGAATTAAGCGGCAGACATTGAAACAGAACAAGGTAATACCGTGTGGTTTCAAATCAGAAAAGGTGTGCCTCTGTCAGGGTTGTATCTTTTTGTCATATTTCATGCCGAGCAAATACTTTAAGAAACTGGGCTACAGCCATCAAAAGGTATAGCGTCTGGGGTCTTAAAGGTAAACAAGCGGCCATCTAGTTCAGAAGCAACAAAGCCCACATAGAAGAAGCACACCAGCCTGTATAATCACGAGGTGTCAAAGGGATCAGGTATCAGGCATCAAAGAGACTCTGAAACTTAACTCTGAGCAGAGAGAAGCTTGAGTAAGTGCAGGAAATGATGACAAAAGATCTGGACCAAAGATTTCAAAGGATGACTCAAAGAATGAAAAATCATATCATTGTGAATGAGGGGGAGTGCAGATTGGGGACCCAAAGCCCATCTGTAGGCAAAGGGTCTCGGGGAGGAGAGGAGCCAGTCAGGGTGCAGTATAGCAATGATGAAACATACAACTTTCCTCTAGTTCTTAAATGCTTCCTCCCCTTCCACTGTCATGATCTCAATTCTACCTTACAAATCTGGCTAGACCAGAGGATGTACACTGGTACTGAGAGGAACTGGAAACAGAATCCAGGACAGATGATCCCATCAGGACCAGTGAGTGGTGAGAGTGGCGATACCGGGAGGGTGGAGGGAAGGTGGGGTAGAGAGGAGGAACCGATTACAAAGACCTCTACATATAACCTCTTCCCTGGGGGATGGGCAACAGAAAAGTGGATGAAGGGAGAGGTCAGACAGTGTAAGATAGGACAAAATAATAATAATTATAAATTATCAAGCATTCGTGAGGGCGGGGAGTGGGGAAAGGGGGAAAAATGAACTGATACCATGGGCTCAAGTAGAAAGCACATGTTTTGAGAATGATGATGGCAACAAATGTACAAATATGCTTGACACAATGGATGTATGTACGGATTGTGATAAGAGTTGTACTAGCCCCCAATAAAATGATTTAAATAAAGAAGCTGGACTATATGG